TATACATATAATAAATAAACATATAATAATATAAAATAAATAAATATTTAAATATATATATATATAATAGAAAATATAAAAATTCAATGATTTAAATAAGTATATACTTCATACTTTTTCTTATTTAAACACCTTCCAGCTGTATTGCACAGTTTCTTGTTCCATTGAAGTGGCACATCTAATTTTTTTTCGAATAATTTCTCATTATATAGCTCGTAGAGCAAATTTGCCAGTTCTTCCTTCTTTGTGCGATAGTTTTCGCGGTAACATAACGCTTTTGGATCACAAAGAGATTTGGCCACACAAACTAAAAATGTAAATATGTAAAAATATATTTTTCTACAAAAAAAAATTGAAATATCTACCATCAAGGGATTTAAGAAAGCCGTATTTGTTTTTTAGCGTAGGGAACATTTGTTCTGAAAGCTTGTTCTTCTCCCTCAAAATTCTTGAAGGTTTCGTTAGATTAGGAGAATCTGAATTCATAAAAAAAAATATTTATCTTAGATAAGATTAATTAATATTTTATAAATTTATAGAATTACCCGTTGATTTTGGTGGAGTCATATTGAAAACAGGATTTCCGCGTTTTATGGCTTCTAAATGTTTATTATATATTTCAAAGTTTCCTAAACCATCTCTTATATTTACTCGTTCCATATCGTGTGAAAGTTTTTCTCCATCAGTTGTTGGAACAGCCCTAACAGGAGTTCGCGGTTGCACCCCGTCCTCACCAATGGTTAAGTCTACATCTTCTTCTCCGAAATTTGCAGTGAATAACTTTCGTTTTGATTTTCCACCAGTAGTTGGGGTAGCTGGTATTTTTGCCCTATCGGTCGCTTTGCAAGTCCTCAAAATATCTTCCAAATGGGTATTAAAATTCACATCTTATGTCGCAAATATACACAGAAAATAAAAACTTTTTAGACAATCTGTTATAATTATGTTGTTAAGATATGTTACCATTATTTGCCAATGGAGAATTCGTTTCACCTTCATGTATGGTTACTTCAGCTTTAGATAAATCTAAGTAAATTATATCATCTTTTTTCTTCGTTTTCATACGTCGAGATCTTGTAGAATCACCCGCATTTTTACTTTTAGGTGACTTCTTATTTTGTTGTTTTTTAGCGTGTCCTTTGAGGCCTTTTTTAGGTTGTGCGGTTTCATAGTCACTGCTATTGCTTTTATCAGATGGAGGGCTCCATTCATCAGATTTATTCTCCATATTGTCATTAGGCGAATCGTTGTGAGTTGGTGTTCTATCTAATGTTTCGTCGTCAGAAGCATTGTCCCCTGACGTATCACTATGTAGATCGACCAGGTGACGCCAACGTTCTGCTGCAGCCACAATATTCTTTTGCCGTTTTGTTGGACATTTTCTTTTTACTTCGGTTCTTGGTAATTTAAAGTCTTGCTCTCTCTGTTCTTTTCGCTGCCTATTAAAACGCGGTTCGCTGTTAAAGTTATTATGTTGAACAGCGGATGTAACTTGGTCCTTATTTAAATTAGGGGTGATATAGCGAGTAGAGTCCAAATTTGTTTGAACAATATCGCGACGAACTTTAAAATAAATATAATAATAATTTTGTTAAATTCACAATTTTATACTTTTGTTAAGAATTGAGTTATCACGTACAAATTGAAAAATCATCGAGGGCGCTTTCTACCACACTTTGATCCAACTTGCTTCTACCAGTAGTGTTGACCAAATTAGGTGATTCTGATTTTGTTTGTTTAAATGAAGACAGTTTATTAGATAATTGTGGTGATTTCGTAGAATCTATTTTTTTCGGAGTGCGGCTTGTACGTTTCAGAGTGCGTATTACTTCCGGTGTTTTCCATGCTTTCCCGTATACTTGATTGAGAAGTCTTTCAGCGTGAGTTAGAAAATTCACATCCGGTTCATCCTCATCAGAATTTTCTTCGATATTATTATTATTTGCAAGGGAGTCGCATGGGTTTGTGCTACTTTTATGTTGCTTTTTCTCATTGCATGGTGTGTCAAATACTTGATCTTTTGATGCCAGTGCGGTTGTTGTTATGTTTTTGCTATTTTCATTAACTCTATTACATTCTTCTTCACAACTGCTATCGTTATTGACACTTTCATCTTCCAGACTTTCCAATTGTGAAATTGAAATTTTTATACTAATCTTGGCAGAAATATTTATATTACCGATGCTTATTTGCGGTGGTGAGGATTGGTTCGGCTCAGATTCTGAAAGTTATATAAAAAAATAACATATATATAATGGTAAACTGTATTTTTATGTATAGAAACAACATGCACCTACCAGTTCGACTGCATTCACTGCTACAATTGCTATTGTTAACTGAAGAAATATTCAAATTTTCGCTGGACGTCTCAGATATAATAACTGAATCTTCGGGCAAACCCACGTTACTTACATGCGAAATGGAACTTTTTTCACTACATACTATCGAATTGTTTTGCTCCTCTTTGGACGGAGGTGAGTTCATTTGAGTTTCTTCATGAGCTAGACGTCGGGGGTCGCTTTCAGCATTTCTTTCGCTTTCACTATGAATTTCCCTAATTGAAAACTCTTCTGTTTTTATTTTGCTCATTGATAAAGTATCATTTTTCAAAAATGATTCTGTCTGAACAATTGTTTCACAATTTGTTTTCGGAATTCTGACACACTCATCTCTATCTAGCAGATCAGTTGCAATGGAAGTCATGGATTCTGTGGCCGCATATGCCAAATCACCATGCATTTGGTATGCATTATTTGTTTCAATATTCTTTTTAGGACTAACGGTTTCAATACATCTTAAAGAGTTAAAATTATCTTCCATCATTTCCTGATTTGCTTCCAGTTCTCTACGCTGCTGAGAAACATCTCGTAAAAATGCCTCCATCCGATCTGCTTTTTCGTTACTAAATGTATTTGGGATCAATGCATCCGCTGAATGACCACTTTCAGGTATGTCAGATGTCACAAAATTTAAATCCGTAAATTCAGAAACAGTGCTATCAGTTATTGTTATGGCACTGCAACTATCGTCAGTTGATAACAATGATATACAACCAGATTGGGACTTTTCAGCATTTTTAGCAATTTGGTTTTTACCTCCGGTATTTATGTTGCATATCTGCAGTCTATGTTGTTCCAAGTCACAACTCATTCGCTGACTCTCCGTGGAAACCAATAATGTAGTTTCTTTAATAATTCCATCATTATCTGCATTCACAGCCATTTTTGATACGTCGTTTGTTAGTGTTGATATATCATATTCGCGTAAATACTCTGCAGTTGTGTGATTATATTCACTCACTTGTAATGGCTCCATATCATCAGTATTCTCCACCAATAAAGCGTTATTTGCATTATCTACAGAACTATGTTCAATTGCTTTACTTCCATTGCTATCACTAAGCAACAGGGGATTAACATGGTGTGGTATATCAGAAATTGTAGAAGCTGCTCCAATATTTCCATGAAAATACCCGCTCTCAGTGACAAAAGGGTCACTATTTCCATCCATTTTAGAAAAATCTGTTAAATTGGACAATGTGGGTGCAGAAGTAACATTTTTATGCACAGCGATAGTTTCGGAACTGCTTGGAGCTACATCATCCATAGTTTCTAAAAGATTGCGACTAACGCGTTTTATTGGCTCCATATCTCCTTGAAAACATCCTTCGTACGTTTCAAGTGCGTCCGGTTGTCTCTTCTTATTTGACAGTGTAAGCTTTGCAAATCCTAAAACAAAAAGCATTCAGTTACTTGTGTTTTGTAAATATGTACAGTTCACAAATCTAAATCAAAACGTACTATCTCTAATAGGTACATTGATTTTAGTAGGATCAACACAAGTTATTAGTTTATATTTTTGTTCGCCGTCCATCTCATTATCAAAATAGCAGGCATTAACGTTGAATATAATCTCACAACACAAAATAAATTCAAATACAAAGCGTTGGTGAAAACCATTTCTTGCTTCTTCTTAAGCAGGGTTGTGTTCTTTAAACGTTTATCGGTATCAAGAATGATAAATAAATGCAGACATCAATATTTTTCAAGGTATTCACATTAATTCGGTAAGATGTGGCAGCACAATACTTCGATAAATTTAGTCAATATTTTCATTTCGTTTGACAGAAAACTTTACTTAGTAAAGTAATCCGGTGTATGAAATAATTTCAGATATATTGTCCTGAAAAATTAACACTTATATATTAAAAATAGAAATTTAAATAGCAACAATGGGACGGCGTTCTATTAATACCACTAAAAGTGGGAAATATATGAATCCTACTGATCAAGCAAGTATGTGTAATTTCTAATAAGTTTACTTTAGGTCTCTATGCTACCTTTGTGCATGCTTCTAAATTGTTTTCAGGAAAGGAAGCGCGTAAAAAAGAGCTGAAGAAAAATAAACGACAGAGACAAATGGTCCGGGCCGCTGTCCTAAAAAATAAAGACCCGGGTCAAATATTAGAAGAAATGGAAAAAATTGATGAAATGGGTTTGTAATTCATACGTACGAGTACCTTTTTTGTAGTGCCTAAATAATATACCGATATATTATAGAGTATAATGTATTGCAACCGTCACCATTAAATGAAAAGGTTCTTCGGGATAAAAGGAAGAAGTTGAAGGAGACTTTTGACCGTGTGATGCGTCTTTATGTAAGTTATTATTAGTTCTTTCATAAAATATGATCAAATTAAATACAACAATTAATTATAGCACAATGATGAACCCGAGCATTGGGCAGAATTAAAACGGAAAGAAGTGGAGTATGAAAAAAAACGACTCAAAAAGCAACAATATTATGAAAGTGTAAAGCATGCACAAAGTGTACAAATTGACGAAATCCCTCTACCAGCCTCAACTCAGGGTCCAAATGCTAGTTCCGCGGGCGCTTTGACGTTCCATGTCACCAGCAGATTACCACCCCCACCTACCTCTTTATCATTGCCTCCATTTGCTCCAGGAGCGCCACCTGGCATTATAAAAAAAATACAAGAAACGGTATGATTTCTATCAATTACACTGAATTTTTTTTAACTATATCCATATTGTTACCTAGACTATAAAACCAGCTGACAGAACTAACGATGTCAAAAAGAAAGAGCTGTTAGGTGTTCCGCCTGGACCGCCACCTATTCTTCTCGAAATGAATGACTTAGACACAGATGCCGAAGACGATGAAGTTGATGTGAAAGAATATAATCCAAAATTAAAAGCTTCAAAGTCGAAATCATTAAGTAAGCCCAATTCTTTGCAGCAACGAATGCTAGCTATCTCTGGTCAAAATATTGATGAATTTATGAAGGAAATGGAAAATGTACATAAAAAGAAAGAAAAAGATCGAGAAGCTGGCAAGCGCGGCGATGAAGCGTCGTCGTCTGATGAAGACGAGAAACCTAAAAAAGCAGAAAATTCTGACGATGACGATAGTGCACTTGCAAGTAGTCCCAGTTCGGATGATTCAGATAGTGGTGAAGCAAGTGGAGATGCTATACAATCTCCTAAAAGAAAGCGAAAGGAAACAAGCAGTCCACCAAATGTACAAGCTTCTATTGCTACAATTCATGCATCCACAACTGTTCCTGTCACAATACCATTGCCACCTGTGCCTCCGCATGTCGGTCCGCATCTCTCTGTTCCCGCTCCCCCCATGCCTCCTGTAGCAGGTTTGGCACCCTCGATGATATTGAGGCCTCCACCTTTACGACCACATGGAGCTCTGCATAACTTTGGTATACGTATGCCTCCGGGTCCACCACCTGGTCCAAGGCTACATGGTATGGGTGGTATGCCACCTAGAATGGGAATACGCATGCCTCCCGGACCACCTCCTGGTATGCCACCTCGTATGGCTCATCACCATAAAAATCAACAGCAATCACATAAAGATCAAAGTAAAGGTGTAACTACTATAACAGCTAAACCACAAATTAGGTAAATATTCAATTGTATATGCTAAAAGTTTACTTATAAAATATTTTATTTTTAGAAATTTGAGTGCTGATGTTACTCGTTTCGTACCATCAACTTTACGTATAAAAAGGGAGGAAACACGAAAACCTGGTACGCGGACCAAGATGATTCAAGAGCCAAGCATTCAAACTGCGGAAGCAAATAAGGCGGCCACAAAGGACGATGCCTATATGCAATTCATGAATGAAATGCAAGGGCTGTTGTAATTATCACAATATTCCTACATAATATGTGTAGTACATAAAAAGTAATGTAAATTTAAAATATATAAATTTTAATTGATTTTATGTGATATGTTTATTTCGTCCAGGAATCCTTGAAATAAAACACACTTTTAATACAGACAGAAGAGTGGCATCGCTAAATGTGACATAATCTCACCACAGCAAGAGAGTTGCCAAACATTCAGCACATGTACATATGTCTAAAATTAAACATTTTTGCTCTGTTTACATATTCAAACAAAACGAAAATTATTATAAAGATTTTCATTATAATGAACATAACATATACATCATACATACATACATTTTTAATTGTTTGAGCCATTATTATTTTAATTTTTTTCCCCCAATTTTATTTTTGTTTTCATAATCACATCCGTGGTGAGTTTGAAAGGAAAATTGACATTTGGGAATATATTTATGGAAATTTAGTTTCATCTTTATTGGTATTTGCTAGAATTAAATTTTTTTGACGAGAATCTTCAGTGTAAAAATAAGGATATGATGCGGATGGTTGTCTATTTGGCAATCGTGGCTCTTTGTTGGCAATTTGAAATGACGAGCTCACGCACATCCACTTTATGGAAGTTAAATACTGATAGTGGAAAAATAACAGGACACATTTCCGATACTCGAGGAAAGGCCGATAACATAATGCTGGAGGAGTTTAGCATACCATTATTTGACGCTAATGCCGATGTTTACGCACAAGACGAAGTATTTTATATCATTGCATCTACTTTGGCACTGGGCGCAAGTACAGGGGCTAGCTCAGGTAACACTGATGTGGACCGCAATGAGGGGAACAGTGCAGGATACGGGTGGGTACGTGAATCTCCAGAAAATTCTATAGAAACGATGACAACATTATCAAAACGTTGCAATGAAAGTGATGCTGAAAAACAAGACTCTGGCGGCGATGAGGTAGAAAACAAAAAATCTTCATCAATTACGGGTAGTTCCGGTATACCAACTGTAACTAATGTTGATACTGCGTTGGTAGCTGATGAATCTTTGAATTGCAAACCAGTGAATTTTACATACTACGATTATCTAATTGGAGTGGGACAAAGATTCAATCATCCCAAGATACCAGAGCCAGAGGTAACTTAGATTGTTTATCACTCATACATATGTAAGTTAAATTTAAACTATGTGTATTACAAATCTTTAAATTAGGTTGCATACCTTTTTCTGAAAATTAAAGATGAGAACTCTTTCAAAAATTTTGATATATCGGCTTTGGAGCGGCGTCTTAAAAGAACAAAGCGTGAGAAGCCTAGATCCGTGCAGCTGTACAATCAAATTGGAAACTACTGGCGTATTGTAGGTGACGCGCGACAAGCAATTGAATGCTTTAGACGAGCTCTAGCAATGTCTCCAACAAATGCCGAAGTTCTTTTGAATTTGGCGCGTGTACTTTACAATCTACAATATCTTGACGATGCTATACACTTGACACGAAGGTAGTGGCAACATTTTATGCTAATTGATTAACCAATAAATATCGGTCTGTGTAGTTATAAAGAAAAAACTTATTATTTCTTGAATTTGCTAATTCACAAAACTTAAGTTTCCTTTAGATTTTTTTCACTAAAGTAGGAACAAAAATATTAACACTTCTACTCTATCGATGCCTTATTTGACGATATGAAACATAATTTAGTTTATTATAATTATTTTTTCATCAAAATCACACAGGTCTTTGGAAATGCAACCACCTGGACGGTCTGCTTGGCAGCAATATTTCACACTTGGAGAAATTTTCAAAGCTTATGGACATTTTCAAGAATCAATTTTGCATTTGCGACATGCGCTTGAACTCTATCCTCAGCATGAACCCATATTGAAGGCCTTGCGAGATGTGGAGAATAATCCCTCATCAACATTGCATGTGTACACAGTTGTCATAATAGTTGCCTTGGTAAGTAAGATATTCACGATATTTTCTTACAGATAAGTAAAATACTGCTCCAGATATTTTTCATCTACATAAGTTCAAAAACTATATTTTACATAATTTTACAGGTCGTTGCTGTTTTTATTGTAATCATAACATCATCTAACAACAGTGATAAATATAATGGTTTAAATGGCGGTCACACTCAAAGTGATTATGAGCCTAAAACGCAACGGCATTTCAACCGTGCCATGGCTATGCGCTCACTCAAGGGATTTTCCTCTTCCTCAACATTTACGGGTTCATCATCACGGAACCTTAGACACAGAAAAAATTGAGCCTCCCAAAGCAGAAGTGGATAATTTGCCACAACTACATAGTATCTACGTCCACGCCCATGCTTACACAAATAAAAATTGCTTAAATGGCACAATTGCTTATACACATATACACGTGAACACACAAATTCACACGAAAACAAACAAATCAGGAATATCATTGGATAAGAGGAAACGATGGGCTTAACGATATATCGGTGATTTGATAGATCGATTAAACGAAATGCCAAAAATGCACGGATCTCATGAAAATAAGCGACCCATTTACTTTGTTAATTTGTTTTATGTAGATTTACGGCCTAAACTACATTCGCTTTAAGAAAAGTATATTTGAAAATTATCACAGTATGTAATTGTATTTTTTAAAATATTAAAATTTTTATGTAGTAAGCCAAATTAACTTGTCATAAAATTAAAATTTTTTGTTCCTTTTGTTCATGTTAATTTAAATATAGATATTATGTATGCACTCAGATATATGCCATTTGTACTTACATTTATGTCATTAATTTTAAGTTTTTTTTTTGTGAGAAATTCTTTAAATTTCTGTGATAACTTTGAAACATTAAATTCATTATTTATACTTTTGGTGTACTTTTTTTAACTTTTTATTTGATCTATGGAATTTTCATTTCTACCTGTTGTTCTTAAAATTTCTAGGAATAATTATAATTATTATAAATATCGTTACTTAAGTAACGAAGAAACAAAAAAAAAATACTTAAAACAACCATCACGGTCATTAAATGCTCTATAATTTGTTTATTCTTAACTTATTTTGCTAAACTTATACATAGGTATAGTTTACATAAAACTACATTGTATGTAATTATTATTTGTTAATTGATATTTGAATATATATATTTATATTTCTTTTTGAAATAATTTGTTTGCCATGAAAATATATTTGTATGTATATTTTTTAAGACCTGAATTGTCATTGAATACTCTGTAACTTGGGTAGTAAAACGGCATTTGATATATCGAGTTCATACAATAAGTTCAATAAGCGTGTATTCTTAAGCCATAATCATAAGATTATTTATTTAAAACTGGTACTGCTAAAACATATTTAGCAAAATTTCAATTGAATATACATATAATAAATAATTTTCTGAGATTAAAAAAATAAGAATAATTTTATATTTTTTTTATATAAATGAAAAGTATGAACTTCCATGCAATTATATTAATATCATTCAGTTTTATAAAAATTGAAAGTGTACAGTGTTTAAGATTTATATTTCGTAGTAAAGATTAGTTCAACTTTTTATTCTACTTATTTGTAAAATTTTTGTATCTAACTGCCTCAAGCATTCATTAAAAAATCTGAACGTACTTGATTTTTTAACAATTCGCCGAAAATTATTTTCTTTCTGTCACCATCAAGACATTCATTTATCTGCCTCAATACATCCAATTCATTGACAATTTCATTTTTAATATTAAGAAAATTTTCATCACTTGTTTCCTTTTTTTCATTAAAATATTCTATATTCTTTATGTTGCAATTAAGCATAGTAAGCTCATTTAGTAATATCTGCATACAATTAAAAGCATTTTCGTTATTGTGTAAATAAAGTTTCCATGTTTGATTATATTCTTCACTTTCACCTGTTTGTGATATTTGTAAAGCCATCGATCCAAACCATAACGACGTGCAAACCTTATTAAAATATATACACGAAATAAAGTGTTTTTTGTTGAATAAATCTTCAGCTCCTCTGCTTTCATGGGGATTATCATCACTTCTTGCACATTCATTAAAAATTGTGTTTCTCTTGATAATATCAAAGTCGAGCTTCTTAGCCATTAATTGCTCAAATAAAAAAACATCTTTCATTGATTCGAATTGGATACGTAGTGTGGAATCTTTGTTAATCATTGCAGTAGCCAAAAAGTCCTGATGAAAAGTTGAAGTCTCAAAAGAAAGCTTGTACTTTTGTCTGTTCATAGTTATGTTGGATATATTTAAGTTCTTCAAGAAGAGATGTTGTTCATAAATTTTTGCTTTCATATGTTGATTCATTTTATTTAAAGGCTCTTTTTCGACTTCAAAATATAATAGCAAAGGACACTCCTCCAGTAAAAGAAATTGAGAAGCTTGTATGGCAATCAAAAGCACAGCAAAAGATGAGGGCAACACCCGATTCAATTCACATTTCGACCAAATTGTTGGTGTTGATTGTAATTCCTCATCTTCGGTTTGAAAAAAAGTTTCCAAACTTTCTAAATTTTCAAATTTTTGTTTCAATTGGTATATACGGTATTTATATATAATACTATCTACACGGGTATCCTTCATCTTAAAAATCGGTTTGAGGTTTTTGGTTATTATTAGGCTATTTATGGAGCAATTGTTGACCAGTGGTACACCAAGAACAATTATATTGCTCGTAACAATCCTTAACCAAATGTCACCACATTTGGCAATCATTGGTTTTTCTTCTAACTGATCACTACGAATGAAGTTACAACCAAATCTTTGCAAATCACGCAAGGTGTCAAATTCTTTTTGTGTAGTTGATTTATACAATTGTAGTTCTGCTTTGGCACATCTTACTCGCTCCATGAGCTGCTTTATATTTTTTCTATCGTTACCTCCGTTGCTAAGAGAAGAGCGATTTACATTTGCATATTCTTGAAAATTTGTATATATCATGTCCCCATTTTCAAATTTTATTTCTAATATAGCATCGAATTTTTCTTTACCATGTATAATACGATGCTTATCAACACTTTCGAACTGCTTGACAAGAACGAAATCGGGCAAGGCAATAGCCAGCAATTTATCCCAAAGGTGTATTAATAAATATAATTTATAAATTTCAAAATTTCTATAAACAAACTTTCCAAATGATATTTTAAGATCAGTTGTAATGTGCTCCTCGCCAAATATCGAGGTCTGCTGGTCGGAGGTTTCCGATAAGGACTTTAGCTCCATTATGCTACCAAGTGACTCTTCGTTGCGAATGTTAACAAATTTAAACCATTTACTTTTTGGACCTTTATAGTCACGCAAGTTTTGAGCAACATTTTTTAAATAAGTTTCCGACAAATCTATACTGGCGACAACTTGTTTTTGGTAGAATTGGTAGCATTTCAAATTGCGCGCCAGAACTACTAAGTTTCGCTTACGGTTGATCCATAATTTATCACAAAATAGAAGTTCCTCCCCAAGGAAATCTGGAACTTCATTTTGAATAAGTTTTTCTGATAAACTCATAAATGATAAATCGAATATTCAAAGGAGTTCTTAACTTTATTTGGACTTCAGATTATATAAAAATTTTGGTTAATGGAATTGTACTAAATTCCATTAATGAAGTAAATCAACAAAATATAATACCATAATCTTCCCATTCACAATGACACTACTGAAATGTTTGATAACAAAATACAACAAAAAGTAAAAAGTTAAAAAAATATACACATAAATAGGTCAATGATAATACTTTCTTATATTCAAACCCATTACCTTAATTTTATTATATATCTATAAAATATACATTTTTATTATGCCGATAAGTGGTTTTAAAAAATTAAGAAAAATATCGATACCGCCCTTTCAAACATGGCAACAATTGATTTCAACACTGACGTTTGAATTGAAGAGTAGAGTTTATTTCTTAATTTTTGTTACAAAGTTTGGTTGTTGAAAAATTCTAAAAATCTTAAATAAATTTTAAACATAAAATGGAACCAATGACATTAGGAAGCCCTGGCGGTAGTCCAGCTGCAAACAGTCCCTATTTACCAGCTTTTCTTATGGGAGATAATCAAATTCCAACAACACCGCGCAACACGCTCTCTCCGAACAAAGGTGCCAGAAATATATCGTTTGGTATGAATCAATTTCCTTTTTTAAAATATAGACTTTTTATACATTATTATTATCTCATCTAGCAACGTCACCCATATCAAATTCGCCAGCTCCTAGTGCGCTTAGTGATCACAACCGTTTCGCAGTTGGACAAAAAAACCTATTTAATAGCTCCGTTACTACCAACTATTCGGGCACTCAAGGACCTCCCACACAAGGATTATTCGACTCTTTACGTAGCGAGCGTAATCTCGTGGAAACACCCACACGTGGCATAGAAGCACATTCACCAATAGGGTTTGGGACTCCAATTTCTGCTCAACATAATTCGAGTACTTTCGGGGGCAATTTGGGTTTCCAACAGCAGCATTTGCTCCAACAGCAACAGCAATTTCCGCTACAACCAACAACCCAATATAGTGACACATCTTACCTGGCTAATACTTCATATAATACCCCACGCTGTATCAGCTCCCCTCTCGGACCTCTTGCTACCCCCAATTCTAATAATGTTATTAATAATTCGTCATATATGACCCAATGCCCGCCGACGCCGCGGTACACGGAATTTTGGGTTACTGTTTATGGTTTCCCGCCAAGTGCCATTTCAACTATTTTACAGCACTTTGCGCAATGCGGTACCATTGTTGATAAAGTGTTTCCACCCCAAAACGGTAATTGGGTACATCTTAAATATGCATCACGTCTGGAATGCGATAAAGCCCTCAATTATAATGAAAAAATATTGGGCAATAATATCATGATTGGCGTTACACAATGCAAGGATAAAAACATAATCGACAAGGAAAACGTGTCTGAGAATAACACGTAAGTCATAAAAATAATATACTCGTACATTATATAAATTGCTTTAACTTTTTTGTTATTATAATTGTAGGCAACCGTGTAAGGTACGTCCATTGGCTCAAACTGCATATAAAAGTGTGCAAAATGATTCAGCTGTCGATAATAACGCAAATCTCCCCCAAAAGAGTTCGGGTTTGATGAATAAAGCACTAGATCTATTTTTTGGTTGGTAAAGTAAATTAGTTTTAAGATCAATTACATTTTCAAAACGAAATAAGGTTTTATTTACTCGCTTTAAAACAAGAAAAAATATGTATATTCGTTAATCAATTAATATTGTTTTTGTACTATTTCTCATAATAAATTTTTATAGAATTTTCCAGTAAATAAATTATTGAGTTTATATGATTCCAATACAGCCAGACTAGACTGGAGCAAACGAATCCAATAAACCCTTTTTAGTTTGCATTTGTGAATTTATTTATTTCGTAGAGAATGTACACACGATTACATATACATATCCTAATATTAATATTTCTTACTAAGAAAGCAAACGCCAGCTAATAAACCTTAAAAACACTTTGCTTCTGGTTATTTCCAATCACTCTTCAATCCACTCTTTTAAAGAACTATTTGGGTTTCTCAATGAGAGCTGTTTCCAGTTTAGACATTTTTGGATAATGAACATCCCGAATGTCTAGTTTCGATTGCGCCCATAGGATTAATTTTAGTAAGAACATTACTTTAGGTGTTGAATCAGTGCTATGTTCACATTTAAGTATGGCTGCATTCAGTTCACTGGCAATCTGTAAAAATTCTTATAATAAATTTTTTTTGTTCGAATTTGAATGACAGTATTACCTTTTGTCTATGTGACTGTTCTAACAAATCAGAAAAAGGACTATTTTGTGGTTTTTCGAAAGCTAACAGTGCTAAAGTCCGTTCAAGTTCGTTAAGTGCTTCAGGAATATCCTCTCCTGCTTCGGATAATTTATTTTGGGCAAATGTTAAAGCTTCTTCAATTTTTCCAGCACTGCAAAATTCATGTTTAATTAAATAGAGGTGTTCAAACATAATTTTTGTTAAATCAGCTAATACCGAATCAATTCAATGAGTTGCAACTGTTGTAGGTGAAAGAATAAATAACGGTCATTGTCTAGCAACTCGGGATGCAATTGATTTACGAGATGTGTGGCCTCCTGTATGCGACCACTTTGAACTGCTTCTCGTATGAGTATACGGTCATCTAATGAACTTAATTCAACACTCGGTTCAAGTCCCGCTTCTAACTGAAACTTTTCCGCAGCCTCCTTGAATCCCTCTTAAACAGAAAACGCCATAGCATGTAACTAGTTCAGTAAAATATATAAATTTCAAATATCTTACCAGTTACTAAATAATTCATAATTAATCGATTCATATCGCTTTGCTTATATGGAAATTGTTCCAACTTTCGCATCCAATCTTCCTTTGTTATACTATCACACTTTTCGTTGTAGCTCATTTTTTTATTCCTCCTTATTTTGCCAATTTTGAGGCCGTTTTAAAATACCAAACACTCGAAATAGATTTTTTTTTTAATTATGTACAATTATGCGTATTTGATATGTTCTGATTTATATTTATACTTTTTTTTTTTTTTGAAAATTTCGATTCATCAAAAATATACAACTTTTACTTCTGCTAATTTCCGAAGCTGGAGCGATTTTAATTGTATTTTGCTTTGCTCATGCCATTCGTACAATTGGTATGTTCAGTAATGAGAAAGGAAAACCTCTACTATAAACCCTTGTCGGTCTCTAAAAGTTTTTCTTGATTTATTGTTTAATAGAGATTCGATATTACTAACTTTAATATTTATACACATATCTTTTTAAAAACTAAAATACTATGCTAAGAAGCTATGGTCTTTTACATAAGAATTTAGTTTTATATCAGAAGACTGTTCTTAATTAAATAAATAGCTAAATTATACCATGCAGGCTATATATAGGATATATCTTAAAATTTTATCTATATATTTCTTTGCCTCGGAATAAGATATGCATTGAACATACGCCGCGGAGAAGTGTGGATAAGACATGAGGATAAAAATGACACTTTGACTCATTGTACGAACAAAAGAAATTAAATAAGAACAAAAAAACTAGATTTAACTTCACTGTGAATAATTTTGTACTGTGCTACTGAATTAAAAGATAAGATTTTGCGAAAAATTAATATTTGCAAAAATAAAAAAGGTTCTGTCGCACAGGTTGTCAATCCTTATAAAATAAAACATTTGCTACCGTTTAAACTATAATCAAAATAACAAACATTTAGGATAATGGCAAAGAAAACGTACGATTTACTTTTTAAGTTGTTGCTGATCGGCGACTCAGGAGTAGGAAAAACTTGCATACTTTTTCGTTTCTCAGACGACGCATTCACCTCCACTTTTATTTCGACTATTGGTAAGTTAAATTTTTATGATAACACAGTCTGTGGATAATATTGTATATGGAAAAGAACGACATACACTAACATGGGCGTGGCAGAGCCTGATGCACTGCGCTATTGTTATTAACTGGGGTAACCTTATACCCCAACAGTCTGCATTCCAGAGTAATTAGCTTTTTAACCAAATATAACAGTTGTCTCACTTATTTAATGTACGTACATATATCTGTTTTCATATTCATAAGCCATCCCGGCAAACATTCTCTTTGTTTATATACAGTTTAACATTTTTTACAAGCACTTTAACTATACTTATATATATATAATGTTATATATATATAATACTTAGAATGTATCGCAACGAAATTATGTAGTAAATAACATATGTATGGTATATATATTTGAATTTAGCAAAAAATAGTATATATATTATATAATTTAATCAGTATCAGTACTGGTAAATGCATATACCATTATAATGTATTTCCCAACTCCATACTCCCTCAAAAATACGTATATGGTAAATAATTTAATATATAAATATATCTATTGTGTAATTAAAGGAATTGACTTTAAAATCAAAACAGTCGAACTGAGAGGTAAAAAAATTAAACTCCAAATATGGGACACAGCTGGCCAAGAACGTTTCCACACAATCACGACATCCTACTATCGTGGTGCTATGGGCATAATGCTGGTATATGATATAACAAATGAAAAGAGTTTCGAAAATATAGTAAAATGGTTGCGAAATATAGATGAGGTAAGTAGAATTGTGTGTTCTTATGCATACAAATACACATATATCTGGCATACGAATACGGGCAAATGTACAAATGCTTAAATGTCACTAACAAAACATTAAACAAATATTTGCACAACTCGTAAGGATAGTCAGGGTCATTTATGTGGCTACTTACATATGTATATTTCCTAAAATTGAATTGGTGAAATCATTTGCACAATAATACCATAGCAAGTGAGATCGACGTTAACATACATATGATCTAACTGTGTATAATTAGATACTCATGTTTAAGATTGATTTTGGTTGCAATGTTACAATTTAGTCTATTTTTAAAGATGTTATTTTCAAACCCGTTATAAGCAAAGATAAAAACCCTTATAATTTACTTTTGCTTACATATAAAAATTTGTATGATGTTTGTCGACACATTTTTATCGCCTAACTAACTTAATTTTTCGTGATAAGCGATGAAAATCCAAATTGGTTGACTAATAATGAACTATTTGTTTTTGAATTATGACGTACAAACTTAATAGTAAAAGTCATTATCTATCAAAAGTTATTGAAAACTAACATGGCATTAATATTGTTAACATATGTAATTACATAATGTAGTTCTTAGTAGTATAGAAAGAGAGTTCAAAAAAATGTTTTTTCGTATAAATTTGAATTAGAATATGAAAAATTATCTTAAATACACAAAACATTCCAATGTGGTTTATATTTACATAAAAATAAACATACATACATAGAGACATACATTTTTATGTACACGTATACCGCTTTTTATAAAATTTGAAAGATAAAATCGTTTGTTTATGGAGTGCATATGTGAACTTGACTTGTTAAGATAATACTAGATGGAATTTCCTTTTTAGTTTCATTATTCATATATTATAATCTTAACAATTCGACCACACTTACGGCTAGAGCCTTGGTGGTGGTATTAAGTTTTATTTATGTAAATATGTAGATTTATCCGTACATGCAATAATATTATTATAACAAAAAAAGTACCTCAAGACAAAAACATAAGCGGTGATTTTCATGCGTAATTTCTTTAATTTGACATAATTTTATATATCAACTAAAACGCATATTTTTCTATATAAAGTGTTATGCTTTTTTTATAATTAGCATGCGAATGAAGATGTTGAAAAAATGATACTGGGCAATAAATGCGATATGACAGACAAGCGTGTGGTGAGCAAAGAACGCGGAGAAGCGGTAAGTTAGAGTAATTTTTAAATATTTTTAGATTTATTTAATAACCATTTGTTGTGTTTATTATAAGATTGCCGTGGAACATAGCATCCGATTTATGGAAACATCTGCCAAATCTAATATCAATATCGAACGCGCATTTTGCGAGTTGGCTGAAGCTATTCTAGATAAAACTTCTGGTAGGGAGGCTGCAGAAAATCCCGATCGTCTAGTAGTTGATCGTCGAAATAATGAAAAGGCGCCTGCTTATAAAAGTTGTTGCTCTTAAGTTTGCTTAATACAACAGACTACGCCACCAACAGCACCACCACCAATTACCACTTTTACATCCTTATTGATACTACAAAATAACAAATCAGAGGCAAAGAATCAATGCAAATCATTAGAATATAGTATTGCCTATAACAAAAATAAGATACTATCATTTTTTTACGTAATGAAAAAATAATTAATCATCAACAGCTACTCAATTCACTACTAATTACTATGTGTATTGTAATTTTACGATAAGAGGGAAAGAATTGAAATGTTTGTAAAAAGTGAGAAATGTTAAATGCAATTGCTTCTGCAGTGATTTACATATTTAGGTGATCTTATATGCTTACTCGCTTCTAAAAGAAAATTTGAAAGAAAAAAATTAATGAATTATAAAAAACTAAATTAAAATATATGTACATGTTAGTTGTAATATTTTGGCAAAATAATTTGGTTGGAATTAGCATTTTATGTCCCATTTCTACATATTACACAGTTCACTTTCTTATACAAGAAGCTTTGTGTCATTAATTAAAATTTCAATTATAAAGTGTGCTCACATACATACGTACTATTAAATATTTTTATGCTTGAAATGGCAGTGGTATGTGGAATATAGGAAATTATATAGGCTTGATCTATCAATACTATACACATATTTTTTATAGAAGCGGTGTAAATCATGATACACTGGTTCAAGATATCTTAACTTCATTTCCTCGACAGTCGGATGTAAGTAACCGCAAGGAACCCGGATTTTTAACTGGCAAGACTATCTACATGATAGTATTCCTCAAGTGGTTAAAAAACAATTCTGGCATTACAACAACCTACAACGTAACTCTTCCGGATTGAATTCGTACACTTATTATTATTTCGAACTAGTTAGACAGGGTTTAGATATCCCAATATAAAACCCAATTAACTTCAGCTAACAGTAAATTTTACTTGTTACATTGAATTCGATTTCTTTATTTATTCAAATCGGAAGTTGTATTTATTAGCTTAAAATTAACAAATTACAATTTTGCCTACTTTGTGGCAGTTTATCTTTATCTATTGTATTTTTTTGTCATCTGTTTTACCACCTTTTGCGGAAACTGAATTATTTTCATCCTTGAAATGTAAAAACACAAACGAAAAGATAAAAACGCCAATCATCATGGAGAAAGCACTGCTATAATATGGGTATGCGCTGGGAATGAATCGTTCATATTCCGTATGTTCCAGAGGACGAACAGATACTTGAGTAGTATTGTATAGGTGTGTGTAACCAACTCGATCGTAGTTTATCTTGAATTGATACACTCCGTAGACATCAGGTATCTTAAACCTAGCTTCATAGCGTCCGCCGTTTACTTGCTTAAGTGTAGTACGTATAAATGGATCGATTCGAACAAATTCCAACTGCACATCATTTGCTTTGAACGGTTGCCATTTCTCCTCCACCAATTCTTCAATTGTAATGGTATATACAACTGGATCGACAATTGTGTAAGCTTGTTCTGGCGGCAGAGACTCTCCTTCCTTATGGTGGTTCACTGTGGCAACACGTAAACGTCCACTTTCGCCGAAAGCCCATCTACTGATTGCAGTGGCCACATCTTGGTTACTTGCTTGTTTATTTATAGTTCCATCTTGTGCATTTTGGATAGGTGCTGTAAAAGCTTCATCAGAAAAGAAATGTAGAGATCCAGAAAAGACAACGCGAGCATTATTACGCGCTTGCAATGCAGCAATAAGCAATGTCTCCCGTCCCACTGCATGTGGGTATTCTTTTACAGCCTGTTCAGGATTATAACTGTACGCTGTACTTTCTGCAGACAACAAATGTAATACTAGAGGATTTTCTTTATCTGCCAATAACCCAGTTCCGCGATAAATTAAGGGAGCAGATTTTTTGGCACCAACAATAATTGGCGCATCGATGAGGTTTCGTGCGGAAGTTAATATGGTAGTGTGATCCCCAGCATCAGAAACATCATAATTTAAATGATCTATGACAGACGCTCCTTCCTCATCAACTTCAAATCCACATTCTGAAGCGAATTCACGCAAAGCATCGCCCGATTGCTCGCTGGCAGCAACTAAAACGTTACCACCATCGTCAACGAATTCCGTTAACTTTTCAACGCTCAGATCGCCTCCGAACTCCTCAACACTGGGTGCGAATATAATAACATTCTTGTAAAGATATTCTCCATATCGTGAAAGCACTAGACCCGAGTCGTCAGCCAATTTATAAACAAGTTTAAATCCCCGCTCTGTTGAACAATAATATTTCATTTATAATTGACCACGTCACTTCAGAACTCTGATGGTAGCTTACCTTGCAACGATTTGAAGAAAATGGAATGGGTTTCTCGAATTGCTAAATTATCTAGCAAAACCAAAGTATTAGCATCGGACTCCAACACAGCGTTTGAAGTTTGTAGGAATACGCAAATAAATACAAAGTACTTCCACATTTTTCTTAAATATACAATGACCATAGAATGTTTCGACAGATTATCAATGTGAAAAAATTGTACGCCCGGCAGAGAATTGCCAAATACTTGCCAGAAAAGAGATTTTACCGGCTAACGAGTTGCCAAGCATTGTTTTCTTCACATGGTTGCATTACCATTAAACTGTTAAAGATATTTATACAGCTGCATTTAACTTTTTTTTTAATTATTAGTTAGTCTACCGGAGTGATTTTTATGAGTATTATTATTTATTTGTATAAAAAATGCATTAAAATCCAACATTTCTCTTACTTGTGATAATTTCAATAAATTTTTACTTCACTGCTATATATATCGTTTATCATTTTATTTCCATTATTAATATATTAAATAATTTTAAATCCTTAAAAAATATTTAAGAATAAATATATTTTTCTTATACATATATCTAAAATCAAATTGTTAAGTTAATATCTACGAAACATTTGTAATTAAATCATTTAATTTTGTATTCATAAAGAATTTAATAATAAAACATATGGCAACGTGTTTATCATAGTTTTGACATTAAATTAATTTAGCTACTAGCGCTTATTTTTCGCTCTACGTTTAGTGAACGTTGAAAAATATGGAAAATATTCCCCGAACACAAGAAGGTAAGCTTATTTTTATTAAATATTGGAAATTATAAATCAGTAAGTCATAGTGGTAATTTTATAATTACCATACCCCGTAGGGAAAGTTTGGATTTGTGAAGTCTAAATAATGGATCGATTCACCTCGTTTTTATTGTATTGATTAACCTTTTGCTATAAGAAGAAAAGTTACTCTGAATTTAATAAAATCTCTTTATTTATTTGTTCTTTATAGATATTGAGGCTCAAATTGCCGATATTCAAACCAAGAAAAAGGAAATTCAAAAAAATGCATCGACTGGAGTTGGCTTATTAGACACTGGTGGATTTTATGATACAGAATTATACGATGAGGGCGGCGGTAAAGGAAAGAATCGCTATGAGGGCTATAACACCTCAATTGCAGCTAACGACGAAATGGATGAAGACGAAGATGATGGATTCCCTGTACCCCAAAAGCGTACAACTTATACGGCACCCATATCCGTTTTAAAAGATGTCACTCAGGGTAAGGAAGATGTTGATCCCATGGCGGATAGACGACGGCCGACCATAGCAGATAGAGAGGATGAATATAGACAAAAAAGACGTCGTATTATTATATCTCCTGAGCGTGCAGATCCCTTTGCTGATGGTAAATAAAACTCATATTTTGTTTAATTAAATAAATCACTTACTTTTTATAATCTAACCTAGGCGGAAAGACACCTGATATTGGATCAAGAACATATCCCGATATAATGCGTGAGCAAATGCTCAAAGGGGAGGAAAGTGAGGTGAGTAGCTTAGTTGAAATTACAAAATTAAAAATGATTTTCTTTTTTCATATTTGCAGCTTCGCAGAAAAATACAAGAGAAATCTAAGGAAGGTACATTGGTAAAAACTTCGAATGGGGAGGCGACCAAAGAACCGACAACACGTAAGCGTGGACGTTGGGATCAAACTGTTAGCGAAAGTTTTGTACCTGCAAAGGTATCTGCCACACCTAATAGTGCAGCAACCCCTACTTGGGAAGATGTAAGACTAAAAATTTTAAAATTTTATGGATGTTTAATTTAATTTATTCCGTTTTTTATTTTAGAAAACACCAGGTGATCATCGCTGGGATGAAACACCTGGCCATAAAGGTAGTGAAACACCTGGGGCTACCCCAGGTTTAGGGACACGCATTTGGGACGCAACTCCGGCACATCCAATGACGCCAAGCCATGAGACACCTGGGCACGAAAAATCAGCTCGTCGCAATCGTTGGGATGAAACTCCAAAAACGGAACGTGAAACTCCCGGTCATAGCGGTTGGGCAGAGACCCCAAAGCCAGATCGGGGTACAAGTGATAATGTTGTTGCCGAATCAACACCAGGTGCTTCAAAAAGAAGATCACGTTGGGACGAGACTCCATCAAATGCAACACCGTCAATGACACCCTCTTCTGCAATGACGCCTAGCCTTACACCAAGTATGACTCCACATACCACGCCAGGTCACGTAACACCACTCTTAACACCGGGTGGTACCACACCCATTGGAGTAAAGGCAATGGCCATGGCCACTCCAACTCCGGGCGCATTAGCCGCTATGACACCAGAGCAACTCCAGGCTTACCGTTGGGAAAAAGAAATAGATGAACGCAATCGACCACTAACTGATGAGGAGCTTGATCAAATGTTTCCGCCTGGGTATAAAATATTACCACCGCCTGCTGGTTATGTGCCATTACGCACACCTGGCCGTAAGTTAATGGCCACACCGACACCAATTGCGGGTACCCCTGCTGGATTTTTTATTCAAGTCGAAGATAAAAATGCCAAATTTATGGACAACCAACCAAAAGGTCAAAACTTACCCTTTATGAAACCAGAAGATGCTCAATATTTCGATAAACTACTTGTGGACGTGGATGAAGATAGTCTTTCTCCAGAAGAGGCTAAGGAGCGAAAAATAATGAAGTTGCTTCTAACTATTAAAAATGGTTCACCTCCAATGCGTAAGTCATCACTTCGTCAAATAACAGACAAGGCACGTGAGTTTGGAGCGGGACCACTATTTAATCAAATTCTTCCGCTACTTATGTCTCCAACGCTTGAAGATCAAGAACGACATTTACTTGTAAAAGTTATCGATCGTGTCTTATATAAGTTGGATGACTTAGTTCGTCCTTATGTACATAAAATTCTTGTCGTTATTGAGCCATTGCTAATTGATGAAGATTACTATGCCCGTGTAGAAGGCCGAGAAATAATTTCGAATCTCGCCAAAGCGGCAGGTCTTGCCACTATGATTTCGACAATGCGTCCTGATATCGACAACATCGATGAATATGTCCGTAATACAACAGCACGAGCGTTCGCTGTTGTGGCGTCGGCATTAGGTATTCCATCCTTACTACCGTTTCTCAAAGCCGTGTGTAAGTCGAAAAAATCATGGCAAGCTCGTCATACCGGTATAAAAATCGTGCAACAAATTGCTATTTTAATGGGCTGTGCTATTTTACCGCATTTAAAAGCTTTGGTAGAAATTATCGAACATGGATTAGTGGATGAACAACAAAAAGTTCGAACCATTACAGCCTTGGCCATTGCTGCATTGGCGGAAGCAGCTACGCCTTATGGCATTGAATCTTTTGATTCTGTTTTGAAGCCCTTATGGAAGGGTATTCGTACACATCGCGGTAAAGGTTTAGCTGCTTTTTTAAAAGCTATTGGTTATTTAATTCCATTAATGGATGCTGAGTATGCCAACTATTATACCCGTGAAGTGATGTTGATTTTGATTCGTGAATTTCAGTCGCCCGATGAAGAAATGAAAAAGATTGTATTGAAGGTAGTAAAACAGTGTTGCGCTACTGACGGTGTGGAGGCGCAATATATTAAAGAAGAGATTTTACCACACTTCTTTAAGTTCTTTTGGAATCACCGAATGGCTTTGGATCGTCGCAATTATAGACAGTTGGTAGACACCACGGTAGAAATTGCCAATAAAGTTGGCGCTTCTGAAATCATTAATCGTGTTGTTGATGATCTAAAAGATGAAAACGAACAGTATCGCAAAATGGTAATGGAAACCATAGAGAAGATTATGGGTAATCTAGGGGCTGCAGACATTGATTCACGTTTAGAGGAGCAACTTATTGATGGTATCCTATATGCTTTTCAAGAACAAACCACCGAAGACGTGGTCATGTTAAATGGTTTTGGTACAATTGTCAATCAGTTAGGCAAACGAGTTAAGCCATATTTACCACAAATTTGCGGAACGATTCTTTGGCGTTTAAATAATAAGTCGGCGAAAGTGCGTCAACAAGCTGCAGATTTAATATCACGCATTGCCATAGTTATGAAGACCTGTCAAGAAGAAAAATTAATGGGACATTTAGGTGTTGTATTATACGAGTATTTGGGAGAGGAATACCCAGAGGTTTTGGGTAGTATTTTGGGTGCGCTTAAAGCAATCGTTAATGTTATTGGTATGACTAAAATGACACCACCCATTAAAGATTTACTCCCACGACTGACACCTATCCTGAAGAATCGTCATGAGAAAGTACAAGAGAACTGTATTGATTTAGTCGGAAGAATTGCGGATCGTGGACCCGAATACGTTTCAGCACGTGAATGGATGCGTATATGCTTTGAGTTACTTGAATTGCTTAAAGCGCATAAAAAAGCTATTCGTCGCGCTACAGTGAACACATTTGGTTACATAGCTAAAGCAATCGGTCCACATGATGTACTCGCAACTCTGTTGAATAATTTGAAAGTACAAGAACGTCAGAATCGTGTATGTACTACAGTAGCTATTGCTATTGTGGCTGAAACTTGTCGACCCTTTACAGTGCTCCCAGCATTAATGAATGAGTACCGCGTCCCAGAACTGAACGTGCAAAATGGAGTACTTAAATCGCTTTCTTTTCTCTTTGAGTACATAGGTGAAATGGGAAAAGACTACATTTATGCCGTATGTCCCCTATTGGAAGACGCGTTAATGGACCGCGATTTAGTGCATCGACAAACTGCTTGTGCTGCTATAAAGCATATGGCACTCGGGGTTTATGGTTTCGGATGTGAGGACGCATTAATTCATTTGCTGAATTACGTTTGGCCAAATATTTTTGAAACATCACCTCATTTAGTTCAGGCATTTATGGATGCTGTTGATGGACTACGTGTTTCACTCGGTCCCATCAAAATTTTGCAATATACACTGCAGGGCCTATTTCATCCGGCACGTAAGGTCCGAGATGTGTATTGGAAAATTTACAACTCTCTTTATATTGGCGGGCAAGATGCATTAATAGCAGGTTATCCAAGGATTACTAACGATCCAAAGAATCAATATGAACGATATGAGCTGGACTATATGCTTTAAGGTGCGTCTATATAGCTGGGAAACATTTTTTACAATATTAAAAACTACAACTGTAGCCGTAAAATGATTTTTTAGATGTAACAATAATTCCGAAATATTATATATAGAAATAATTTTATTTCAACTAAAATTTTCCGTTTTCATTAGTAGGCAGCATTTTCCGAGGTGAGTGTTTTATTCTTTTAAGATGTTATTATTAATATCAGTTCATACTCAGCAATTAAGATGAATCACTGCACTTTTTGCTTTACGCGTTCTTTCCCTTTTTGAACTAAAAAGCTGAATTAGAAAATTTATTATTTTATTCATTAATACTTTTCTCCTGTTTTATTAACAATATTCAATTATATTAGAATTCCTATACTTGTTCGGAAACATATATATATATATATATATACAAGAGTTATTGGCGACATTTTGGGTCATAATGTTGTGTATGTAAGGGGTATAAATAACAATAGTCTTCCAGAAAGTCTTTATGCAAAATATTTTAGATTGCTTATTGTGCCAAATTTGTTATCGGTTCATCAGTTCTTCGAATACCACGATTAGATTTTCTAATCCGAAAATATAATTGGTATCTAAAGACTGGTTTGTTGTGGGAAAAACGTGTGCGAAATCTATCATTTTTACTTTAACCCATTGTGCACCACTTGCTTTATATTCAGTGTTTTCGGGTGCATTTAGGTTTACGCTACGATTATCCTCTATATCACCATTTGTCAATTGTGAAATGCCATTACCTTGGTGTGAATTATTTTGAAGTAGGAATTTTTCCAGGAGTTCATAGTCGTATACTATCAATAAGGAACTTGCATAGAAATTGTATACTGTTTGCACCTTAAACCATTCTCGTATTCTGTATAACTCTTTTAATATTTCAAAAACCAGTGGTCTATAAACTTCTCCATTTTGAGCATTTATGAAGAGTGCAATTGTCGCGCGGAAACCATCACAATCCAAATTTTTACCATACTCTTTGCTAAAGCGAAGCACTTTGCAATCTTTGTGCGTATAAACCTGGAAGCCCGGAATACAAAGCCCCAAAACTTGTTTGCAGCGTAAATATTTTTGTTCTTCTACACGACGTTTTTGTTCAGATGCCATAGGATCCCAAGTTCGCTTACCCACTTTAATATCCATTATACAAGGTTTTCGCATACCTTTTGTGAGATCTTCCATTTTCAAGAAAGTGTGCTGACGGTTATTAACAACCAATGTCACTGTTTTATGGTATTTTGGCACAAATGAACTAAGCAGCTGCAATATATTTGAATCATTTGATTTTTCAGCTTCTTGAAGATTTTCATAAAAATTCTTCTCACGTTCTCCACATTCCGGCTTGCCTAATGGTTTAAGCACGCAGCCACCCTTGTCTTGCAAAAGACCTAAAGAAGATGTATCAAACGTATGACCAGCAACTTGAGTTTCCATTGCTGCAAATCCAGCAGGAAGTTGGATCTCCACCAGTTCAGAAGCAGCGGAAATATTTGTGTGCTTTTCCGTCATTTTTGTAGAAACTTTACTTGGCATCTATATGCAACTTTTAGTTGGCTTAAAAACAAAAATAAACACATGAGTAATGCAAAAGTATTTCCAATTACTACGATTTATTCATATCTAAATTCTTATCCCAAAGTTAATACCGCCTGAAACCGATTGAGCCATTGGTAAATGCTGCCAGATATATATAATGCATATAAAACATTTACTTTTATAATATACTTTAACCCCTATGCATTCCGGGAATGTTGTCTGCGTGTTCTTGCCATATATTAGAATTGATGCAAGCACACATTTTTTGACGTTATTTGATTGATTTTGTAAATGTGTAATAAATATCTTATCCATTTAACACTGAAATAACAAATTCATAGATAATAGGAGTTAGGTATACTTTTAGGTGTCGAATTAAATACTAAATTCACAATAGATGGACATAAGGCCCTTTTAATTAAAGGAACTTTAATATCAACAGTAAAAAAATAATAAATACAACTTATATTAAATTATTTTACTAATATTTCAATATTTGACACACAGTATCAACTAAATCTCTATATGTATATATTGTTTGTACCCTCCGATTAATTAATGTTAATAAGGTGATATTGCATAGTGTTGGCTACACTGACAGCGCGCAATCAACCGATTTCGCATACGGCAAGGGAGACGAAGTGAATCCGTCGGAATTTGCACGGAAATAATTCCTATTTTTTTATAAGTTACTCGTATTTTTACATTATTTTAGTTATTGAATTTCGAAGTGAAAATGGCGTTAAATCCACAGTACGAGGATATTGGTAAAGGATTTGTGCAACAATATTATGCGACATTTGACGATCCCAACCTCAGAGCGAATGTGGCCAATTTCTACAGTGTGAGTGTGAATGTAAATTGCAGCTGGTGTGGTCACCGCTGCCTCTGTACCGGTGTTGTTGCTTCTGCCACTGCTACTCCACCTTTTTGTCCACATAAGTTCATATGACACATGTCCACTTATAATTGCACCTTATTGCTATTATTTATTTTTTGTTTCAATTTATATACTTTCTATGGATAGTAGCCAAAGTTTTTTAACCGCCATTTGTGCTATTTTTAGCATTGTCTTGAATGCTTCCATTATATTACTTCTGGACCATTCAGTCGGAGTTCGCAGCAGCAGTAGCAAAAAATTAATGTGTAAACTATAGGAATATCTAATATACATATATTAATGGATGAATAATTAAATTTTAGGCGACCGAATCATTCATGTCCTTTGAAGGCGTACAGTTGCAAGGAGCACCTAAAATAATGGAAAAGTTGTCTGTAAGTACATGGGGTACCATTCGATTAACTATTTTATTAACTAATTTCATATTTGTGCAGAGCTTGTCGTTCCAAAAAATTTCGAGAGTTATAACAGCTGTAGATTCACAACCAATGTTTGATGGAGGGGTATTAATCAATGTATTAGGAAGACTCAAGGTAAAATATAAATATAAGAAAAATTAATTTTGTTCCATTGTACGGTTTGAAACATGTTTCACAAAATGTAACTTTAATGGCCGGTGTGTATACATAGCTTAATTTAAGTTTTCGATCCTTTTATTGATCTATTTGTGTACACGCTGCATTTGATGCCTTATCAGACCGATGATGACCAGCCACATGCGTACATTCAAACATTTGTTCTTAAACCTGTGGGTGGTAGTTTCTTCGTGCAACATGATATTTTTAGGCTATCACTACACGATGTATAGTTACGCGGAAAATATGCACTGCGTGCACTGCCCTTAACTCACGCTTGACAGTGGACGCTACAGTTACTGCTGCGATAATAGAAGAATATTTTAATAAACTATGCTACTTTGCTAACGTATGTTACCTTAAATAATGATAACAAAGAAAAGGAAAACTTAAAGCCAATTATACAAAAATTGCAATAATTTAGAATAATAAATTTGACTGATTAGTGACTGTGTCGGGTTTAGTCGCCAGTTATGCCGCCAACAAAGCCACTACCATCGTAATGCGAAGATAATTCTGCGTTTTTGGTAATAAATCAATCATTAATAAAATTTTATAAGCTGATGATCATAACACGATTTTTCGAATGTAATACTTTGAAAATAATTTTCTGTTGAACTTCCATCCCAGATATTAACTGCTATTCTAACGCATTTTGTTGTGGTATAATTTTTATTGGCATATTAAAAAAATTGCAATTAACATCCAAAGTTTCTTAAACGCATGCAAAAACTGTACTACTGTCCACTATACATATGTATACACATAAACATATGGTAACCATTACTATGACAGCCGTTTATGTTACAGAAGCGTATTCGTATTTATACGGCAATGACTTACAAGAGCAGCAAATTATTTGGGAAATATTTAATTATATTATTCACTTTACTAATTGTTGTCCATAACTACATACATTCATAATTCTCGTTTATTATAGAAAGTGTTAGTTTGAATAAGCTAACTTAAAAATAATTCAATATAAAATTTTCGTATTGAACTGACAAATTTCTGTAAGTTTCCAATCATTTTCTAATGCCGTACTACTGAATGAATAATAATATTGAAATAATTCTTAGTGAAAATTTAATTTCTTCGGCATGCGAAATTGCGTAAACATATTTAAATTATTTAATCATTTCTAATTTGATTTAGATATGTATGTACATGTTTTTAACTTTCGGTTAAAGCTTTTATTAAATTGGATTTGACTTTTACTTTCCTAATTTTGCAAATTTGGGTAACAAAGTTGTCACTTCCCGTAAACACTCCGGCCATGGACTGTGATACTGTTATTTTTTTTTTATAACTCTTATTACCATTTTGCAAATGAAGTCTTGCACTTTTTTTTTTTTGAACTAAAGCTATCACTTTGTGCACTTGGTTTGCTAGCGCCTCATATATTATTTTATTGTACTAATATTTATTTAAACGCAGAAGTACCTACATATGTAGATATGCATATAATTTTATAGAAAAACCCTTCAGCCCCTTGCACTACCCTTCCAATATTTTACCTAGATATTCTACATATTGTATTGTATGTTTGCTTAACCATTGTATTATTAAGTGTTTTATATACATGGATAATGGCATATGTCTTTTTGTTTTACTTTAGTTAAGCATAATGTTACATCGTTTTTAATTGCTATTTTATGGAGTTAGGTTTATGTATGTAATTTTTATTTATTTACAGTGTGACGAGGATCCACCACATGCTTTCTCGCAAGTCTTCGTTTTACGGCCACTCGGCGGTACATTTTTCTGTGCACACGACATCTTTCGTTTGAATATACACGACACAGCCTAGTTGTGTCAACATTTTGATTACGTTTATAATAATAATAATATATAAATATTAAAACAAATGGAGTGATTGTAATAACGTTAGAAATTCTGTGGAATTTATTTCGTGTACATGTAATGGATTTGTTCTATTTCGTTATTATGTCTTAAAATAATATTACAACGTATTTAAATGCATTGCTTTTTGTTGTGGTTCAGTTTTTCTCCTACTCTCGATAACATTTTTGGTTTGATACTTATTACGACAGATACTTAGTACGACTTCAGGTTAATTTAGTTACAAATGCAGGCTACGTACGGTCTAGCCGTGTTTACATATTGACGTCCCGTTTAGGCATTTTTTTAAGTATATACTCATTTTTAATTGAGTATATCTTAATTTTTACAAAAATACTAAGCGTATCTTTTAGTTTACAGCACTGATTATATATATTATTTCAATGATTCCCAGAGCGACATGTAATTTTTTAACAATAATCCAAATTAGCATTCAAAAGTCTTTTTTTTAATTTTTTATGATATCCTTATACATTTCGATTGGCTTCAATGGCATTGAAAACATCTTGAATTGTTCCTTGGCTAACGCCGTACTCAGCGATATTGAGACGTCGTTTATTTTTTTCCAAAGAACCATACAAAAATGAATAACTTACAATAGGGACTGGCAAATAAAATTTGAAGCAATTATCGATGCGCACCCTAAAATACCAAAAATTATTTGAATATTGTATAAACTAATTAGTTACTTAACTGTAATTCAGAATCTTCATGCAAGAAGGACACAAAGCGCACTAAGTTCTCGGAGTCCTTATACAAACTGTAAACAATAAAAGCATATATTATAATGTTTGTAAATAAATTAAACAGTATTTTTTTTAGCAACATACTTGTCTTTCGCTTCTTCAGCGGTCGCACCATCAATCTTCAATTTCACATCTAAGTAAAATCCTTTTGTATATCTGCTACGTAGATATTGGGCATTACCGAATGCCCACATCTCACCCTCATTGTAGATAAGTACACGATCGGCTAATGCCTCTAACTCGATTGCGTTTGATGTTGTGAAAATAATAGTTTTGCCCAAAAAACGTTTATACCTCAAAACATTCCATATTTCGCGACTAGTGCGTGGCGCAAGTCCACGTGTCGGTTCATCCAATATTGTAACAGTCGGTTGAGCGATCAAAGCCAGCGCTATGTTGACTTTTCGACGTCGATCAACGCCGAGACCACGAATCGGTTTATCCATATAGGAACCCATAATAAAAGCACTTGAGAGATCACGTAAAATTCCTTTAATATCATTTGGTACAATACCGCGCAACATGCAAAAGAAGCGTAAAATTTCCCGTGGCGTAAACGTTTCCCACAGGCCATGATCTTGCGGTACGAATGACATTTTTGCAAATGCTTTCTTCGATTCATATTTCAGTTCGATGCCATCAACGAATATATCGCCGAAAGCAAAATTGGTTTGGCCAATAAGTTGGCCAGCCACATGTGATTTCCCGCTATGGTGTGAGCCGAATATTGCCATGCATTGACCTCTGCAATCATAAAACACGAGTATAAAATGTGGTTATGAAAATAAATGGAAATTTAATGAATGTTACTTCAGTGGACGTAATATAAAATTATGTCTCTAAAAAATATTAAATTTGTTAAGATCGTATTCTGCTCGGTTTGATCGGATACAATGTTGAGTATTAAAGAAATGTCTATCATAGGTGCGTTATTTTTATTTTCATATTTTGAACAGGACGACGAGCTGAGTTTATATATTGTACAATTTTTGAGCTATCAAACATCAAGCGGAACCGCCGATATATAGCATATATGAGCTGTCATAGCATATATGAGCTGTCATATAAGCTGAACGATCAAAATTAAGATCTTATATGGAATAATTTTTAGTTGTACAATATATCTTCACGCATGGATTATTGTCCAAGCCAATGATATAATCTCCGAAGAAATTGTTGAGACCGGACTACTGTAGCATATAGTTTCCATACAAACTGAACGATCAAAAT